TGTTTGACAACTAAAATGGTTACGCTCTAAGCATGTTTCAGATGAAGCCGCTCTCCCCAAAATAAAGCGCGTAAAAATAGCTTTCTTATAGTTTCTGAGCCTTTTGGTCAACATGAAATTCATCGGCTTTGTTTAAATGTATTTTTCTTTGCTGTGCATCTTGTTTAAGTGTTTTTGGAACTGCCCTGATGTAGCCTTACCCTTTCTTTAACATGGAAGGAGCCCCAGCACTTGCCAAAGAAATAAATAAAAGCAGACTTGATTATACAGCGGATAAACTAGTGAAAACACTGCACCCATTTAGCCTGGGGAGCCCAAATAGATAGACAGGCTTCTCTTAAACCCTCTATGCTAGAAGACCCACAGCACATAAGTGTTGGCAATGGAGATGGACTGTGTGCTGCTGCCTTTTAGGACCTCCTCTCCATCATATATCAAAGCTCACTTGGTTCACTGCCTTTGTCTGACCAACTGCAGCTTTGATTCCCCCTCCTTGCAGAGGACAGTAGCACTTTTTTAAAGGCGTCCTCTGCTGGCTCAGCGTCTTCTCAAGGGAAAATGAGGGCTGCTATCCTGCTAAAGGAAAGAATATATTTTTCTGAGGCCCACCCAGGCGTTTCACCACAGACACCACAGTGTGGGCTTAGAGCAGGCCAAAACTAGAAAGCTCACCTATGTCCAGACTTAATCTTATTCTGTCTCAGCAGAAAAAAAAATTTCTGGATTATATGAATCCAAACTGATATAAAGGTCTATAATTGTCCAACGGGATTTCATCCCTTTTACTCCTTTTAGAAAACTGTGGTTTCGTCAGAAAACTGTACAATTGCAAGGATGGATTGATTAACGGAGATGATTAAAACAGACAAACCTATGGGGTTAGAGGAAAGGTTGCAAAATGACTAAAAAGGTCAAATGGAATCAATGCAGTTTCCTCCCTGAACATTTGATCTGGAATGGATCTAGTATTTATAATGAAACTAAAAGTTGGTGTCCCAAAACTGGTCAAGAACAGAAACAAGTGTGGGCAGGTCTTTACACGTTACTGAGATAAAGTGATTCTTGGAGCCTTGTGTAGTTTTGCCCTTTAAGTTTTTGTACGATTTTTGTTTTTCTAACCGAAATCTAAAAAAAAAAAGAAAAGGCACCATCTACACCAAGATAAGTTAAAAGTAAAGGAAGAAACAATTAAATACACAGATACCTACAGAAACACTATCAGCATTACTGTTTTTTCTGTTATTTAACATCAGTATTTAATAATAATCAGATATATTTTAATGTCGCTCCTCAATTCCAACCTCGGCTGCAATCGCTAAAGAAAAAATTGTTTACTCTTATACAAATTAGACATAGTCAAGACAAAAATAAATGTAAAACATATGTTTAATTCCCACCTCCACTCACGGCAGAAGCATTTTAAGCATTGGTTTGCATTAGATTAATAGACATGGATGAAATGGTTAGAAATAAACAGTCAGGCCAATTATTTGAGGAGGTTTTTCCCCAAAATCTGGCAAAACATGGCCACAGTCATTCTTTCATTGATCTAGTGTCTTTTGACAGCTCTATATCTTGGCCATGTTACCCCCAGATTCCGACCCGCTCACGTACATTGTGTGGAGTACTTGTCTGTCATGTTAATCAATTAGAACTGTTCCACATCCCCTGTTACTCCTCCTCACCGTGCACGTACGTCTTCTCCGTCCGTCACCTTCAAAATACAGAGCCTAGCTATTCTTTGCTCTGCTCCAGTCCAGCCAGGTCAAGATCCACAATTGCAATCGCACTAAACAGGAAAAAGAAAAATTGAGATGATCCTGTTTGTCAAATTAAAATACAGTAACAACAGATCGGTAACTACAAATTAGAGCATAATTTTTATTTATTACAAAACACTAACACTGTTCATTTAAAAGACTGGATGTAAATTTGTACGTCAACATATCAGAAAGCATATATATAATATTAATTTAATACCGAGAGGCTTAAAATTTGAATCAAATCCAGTCAAAAGAAGCTTCTTATCTCAGTCCTGGATGAAGAGATGCTGAGTTTGGAAATAGAGAACAAACATAGTTCATAAAAAAAGCAATTTTGTATGATCCTAGTTACCCTTAAAAAAATCCGTCATAAATACTGCAGATATGCTGGATGCTGATGGGGATTTTTTTAATATGTCATAATAAATTAAGCGTTAATTTCTGCCTGTTTTGCTCCTGTGAATCTAATAATAATATCGCTAGTGATGTTATGAGATTAGCCGAAACTTCGAGGAGTGGGTGGAGTATTGGAGGGGGCGTCTCACGAGGCGCGTATCGAGGCTTGCTTCATTTGGGGGAGGAGCCAAAATAGATGATGTCCGAAGCCTCACTAACGCGCCTTACCACGTGACCGCTTCGCAAAGTGGTTCAATTTGCCCAGAACTTTGAAAAGGCATTTAAATCGCCTCAGTGTTCAGTCAAGATGTGGGAGTTTGTAGGAGAGTTGCTCTCAGTTGGGTAGAGTTTGGATAGATTCTGAAAATAGTTGTTTAAAACTAGTTTGGTTAGATTAAACAATGTAATGATCAAAATCTGAGTTAGCCACTGGTTAGATATGTTATTAGTTATATGTAGTATTGCTTTCAGAAGCATTGCCTTCTTGCTAGTGGCTTCAACTGGAGACGGACTCCCACTCTTGAGGTTGATGCTTCAAGACCCACATCAGACTTTTAAAAGTTACGATAAAACTTTTTTTTTTTTGGCTAATGTGAATAAATTGTATTGGTCTGCCCTAGTAAAGATATAGATTGGGTAAAATAACTGCCAAGTTAGATTGGTTGGTTTGACCAATAGATTGGTTGAATGAATGACTTCCAACCCGATCAAAGCCAAAAACTCTGTAAAAGCTATTGTTTGAATAAAATGACTAACACCTTTCATCTTGTTCATCGATGCCCGATTTGCACAAGCACTTTCACTGGCTGCTTGAGCTTATTTCACTAAAATGGCAGAAGAACAGTGATTTTTCTCTTCTAAGACATTTTACACATAAAAAACAAAGATTTTATTATAGTGACCAATCATTAACAATTTCAAAGGAACTTATAAAGGAAAGAAAAAATCAGATTCAATTACTAACTGTAGTTCTGCACTCCACCAGTAGGTGGTGACATGTTCACATGAGGCTTCATGAACTGTGGGGATTGTTGAAGCAATTTCGCCAAATGGTTCAAATGCCTCTTGAGGCTTCATCTCACCATCACTAAATATCGCAAATCCTATTTGAGCTCCGAGGAAGTCGGAGCGGAAAAAGACGGGAGGAACAGTGGAGGCTGCAGGCTTTGCTTTGCGCAAGTGGTTTGGAGCGCAGAGGAGCGGTGACAGAGGATGTGGGATTTCGGGGTTAGCAGTGGATTCTTACTGATTACATGGGGTGGACAGGTGTCTTTATGCAGCTAACAACCTCAAACAGGTGTATCTAATTTAGGGTAATAAATGGAGTGGAGGTGGACATTTTGAAGACAGACTAACAGGTCTTTGAGGGTCAGACTTCTAGCTGATAGACAGGTGTTCAAATAATTATTTGCAGCTGTATCATACACATTAATATTTTGAAAAAATCATAAATTGTGATTTCTAGATATTCTTTTAGATTATGTCTCTCACAGTGGACATGCACCTACAATGGCAATTTCAGAGCCCCCCCATGATTTTTAAGAACTTGCTAAATAACAGAGTGTTCAAATACTTCCTCGCTGAAAATTAAAGTACACTTGAGTGGAACGAAAAAAAGGTGCAAAAGCAGAAGCACAGCCTTTGTAGAACTGTGAAGCAGAAGTCTTGAATTTTCGGGCAAGAATCACATGGTGTTAACGATGGCTTGAAGAAGTCAGCAGAGCCATCTACCAGGAAATTTGAAAGTATCTCATGCATTCCCTCCGTTGATGGGATAAAAAAAAATACTAATTTATTTTCCCAGGAGGGACTGATCTCCTGGGAACAGAATAGAGTTATACTTACACCTTGTTTAATAAAGATGATGTTGCAGAACTGGACCAGGAAGCAGATGTATCTAACCTAAACCTTGAAGTGTGAGGGTTTGAACCAGAAGGCCCAGCATTCTGCAGCATTTAGATGTCCCTGAATCAAACCATTAGATACATCAAGCTGCTATCAGACAGCTAATTATTTAATTGAGGTGTAAAGAAAGATTTTACAAGAAAAGATGAGAGATGCTATACTTGACTGTGCAGATGAGCAGAATGTCACCATTAAAGCAAGCCGGTCTTCATAGCTGCAGGTCTTCATCACCAAAAGCAGAGCCAACCAATCACAGAATCAAGAACATTTGTTGGTATTGTTTTTATTATTTTTTCTTCTTCTGAGAAACAGAACAAAGACAACGTCTTCTCAGAAGTTGCCTTTAAGGACGCAGCAGCAACCAGAAGCATTTTTAGCTCTTAAGTAGATGGTGAGTGTTTGTCGTGGCATTCAGACAGAAGCAGCTGGGGGAATGATTTAGGGGGAATTTGATCAAAAAAGAAAGTTGCTGAATTAAGGGAAGTTAATGGGATCTGACCGGCCGCTGTGACAGAGCTCATGCATTTATGCTTATTTGGTTTGTTTCCCCTCTTAACTGGATGTTTGGTAATAAGCTGTGCCTGCTCACTGGTTGGGATTGGATTCACAGACGCTTAAGGGTCTGTTGTTTTAACACCAGCGATGAGTTTGAGGGCAGAGAGGGAATTTTTGACAAAAATCCACTGGTCTGTGGTCGAAGCTAAGGAAAGGAAGGGGTCTGGGAATTCCCTCTACAACACATCTCTCCTTTGTTCATCTTTGTGCAAATCTGTTACATCCCTCTACTGGCTACAGAGCAGTAAAAGAGATAGAAAACACTGCAAAACACAGTCATCTTTAATATCTGATTTAAATAAAAGAAGCTTTTATCAAATGTTTTCTTTTTACCAGGTTGAATCGTTCTTCTCATCATCTTTGTGTCATTTTCTCCTCCAGTCATCCGCCGCAGTTAAAGGACCAGGGAGGTCCCGGCGTGCCTCCGCAGGCGCTGTCTCCCGCTCAGTTACCCGAAGAGGCCGAGTGTCTGACGGTGCCCAAATACAAAAGGGACCTGGTGCAGAAGCTGAAGATTCTCCGGCAGGAGCTCTCTCAGCAACAGCCCCAAGCTGGCCACTGCCGCATCGAGGTCAGCCGAGAGGAGATCTTTGAGGTAAATGCTTAAATTACACCGTTTCGACGCACCAAGCACATCTGCGGACGCTTTTATACATTAGTTTAAGAACAGCGAAATATTTAATGCATCACTTGTCAGGCCTGATTTAACCTAACCAGACTACTTAAGATGATTTCTTTTTTTTTTTTTTAACATCGCCAGGCGTTGCCCTGAGCCATACAGACCCACTGTTTGAGAGTTTCTGCCTCATGATTTCCAGAACCCAGCAGAAAGGGAAAGACTCCCTCAACACCCCACAGATATTACCATTCGTTTTCTTCTTCTCCTTCTGGTTCCTATTCTTGTTCTTCCAGTCGGCATTCCTTCTGCGTGATTTCAGCAGCTAAAGCAGTGGGGGGGTGGAGAGGGCGAAGAGAGGAGTGAAGACAGCAGTTGCGAGTATTTGCTGCTGAATATAAGTTCTTAACTACAAGCTGAGCTATGAAAGCTATGACTTCATCCCGCTTTGACAGACGGGGGGGAAAAGTAGGAAGTTCTCAAACCTGCTCTGCAGACTGTCCTGATGTTTTCAAGCAGAAACCGGTGGTGCAGGTTTCTGACGGCAGAGCCACTGCAGGCCCCTGGTGACGTGTGCGAAAAATTATGCACACTTAGGGTATTATTGCTCCTGACTGCTGTTGTGACTTCATTAACCTGATAACTTACGTAACTCAGAAAGCTCTAAGAATGAAATATGTTTTAGGTTAATGATAATTTTAAAAGTAAGAATAATGTCCAATGTCCATCTATTTTTTCTACTCATTTGTTTTTGCATTGAGCCACCCGTCCTTCAGCGTCTGCTTTCTCTAAACAATGAAAGCTATTATTCACAAATACATACGTGATATTTTTATTTCCTAAAGATTCTCTATAGGGCTGAAACAATCAGATTAATTGTAATTAATCTATTATTGAAATAATCTTTAACTAATTTAGTAATCAATTAACTGGAGAATAGAGACTGTAAAACAGAGCAACCCACTCAGAGCAGTAATTATATCAATAATTTTAACATTTTGCATTTAAAATAAAAATTAAAAACATTTTTGTCTGTCAATCTGCTCTGTCCAGAGCTCCTCAACTGGAAATATTTTAGTCTTACCTGGTTTAAATTCATAAAAATCTTCTTTAAAGATTCTTTGGCTATCTGATTATTAATCGATTAATTGAAAATAAAAAAACATCAACATAATCGATTTGCAAAATAATCTTTAGTTGCAGCCCTAGTTCTTTAGAAAAAAAAAAAAGGGAACTCATGTTCCATGAAAGTTATATTTTTATGACTGTATTATGTTCCTTATTTCTGCACACAAACATGGTCAGCAATTTGCCAAAATTAGATTTAAAGAGTTGAGTCTATAAAACGTTAAAAAAAATGTCTTTGTCTCTCATGATCCCACAGCTTTCTATGGAGAATTTATCCAGTTTGATTTCATCTAAACTTTAACCAACTACGGATGCAACAATCCTGATTTTTTTCATCTCAGATCCAATTTCAATTTTAGACTTTTCTGATACCAAGACTCCAGTTTCCTAAATGTTATTATCAATGCTGTTAATATGTGTGTGACAGTATATATGTAAATACACACTTGGGATTAGTCTGAGGTCAGAATAGGAACTTTAAAACAAAAAATTTTGTTGAAAGGATAAATTCCACCCTGCAAACAAATATCAGCTGTACTTATTTATTCATTTATGACCTTTATTCGAAGAGGTAAAGCTTCTCTGAATAGAATCTCCTTTTCAAGAGAGACCTGTCAAAAGTAGGAAAAAAATCTGAAGCAATACTAAAGCCTTTATATGATTTATAGATGCTCAAAAAGGGTAAACCTCCCTGCTGTTTAGATTTTTAACTTGAAATTAACTAAAAATATATTTAATTTTTTTATAGAAATAGACTGAGCAGACACGCCCCTATGGATCGGGCCTGTTTAAACCAATAAATGAATTTTCTTTAGTATCTCTATACCTAGATCTAATGACATCAGGCTGCGACACACAGGGCCAAAGGGGTCCAGGGCCCCTGCAGAATAGTTCCCTGCCCTGTTTTGGCCCCTGTAGTGACAGCAGCATACTAAATCAATCCAGAACGATGAAATAATCAGGCAAAGAAACCCTAACAGATTTGATCTCAGATCAATTTCTGATTTGACCTTCAGAGTTTTACTTTAATACTGATTTAAAAATAAATTGAATGCATTAAGAACCTGCAGCTCCAGAGCATCAAGTGGTTCTTTGACTATGATGCAAACGTTAAAAAGATGTATCTCACCCCACCCTGGCCCTCCTAGTAAACCTGTGCAGACGTATATTTGATATCGTACACAATATTTTAACACTTGGTGTTTTGTTGTCATGAAATTTTAGCACTATTCATTATATAGTAATAGTTTTCTCTGTTAAATTTCAGGAGTCGTATCGGCAAGTGATGAAAATGCGTCCAAAGGATCTGTGGAAAAGACTGATGATCAAATTCAGAGGAGAGGAAGGATTGGACTATGGAGGAGTAGCTCGGTAGGTTGTTGCTGGTTCGACATACGTTTAAAAGCTTTGACTTAAAACGACGAGGCTAAATCAAACTGCGTTTCAGGGAGTGGTTATACCTGCTGTCACACGAGATGTTGAACCCATATTACGGCCTGTTCCAATACTCCAGAGACGACATCTACACTCTGCAGATTAACCCAGACTCTGCCGTCAACCCAGTGAGAAAACACAATGTCTTATGTGGTCAGACTGTCTGTATCTAAACAAGACTTAGATTTATCCAAATGCTAATAAGATATCACCATGGTGATAAGTGTCTATTTTTGATTGACTGTTATTTAAGAGGTTTAATCAGAATCTAGATAAGCAGTGTCTTTATGTTGTGATCCTCTGTAATCTGCAGGAACACCTGTCCTATTTCCATTTTGTGGGTCGTATTATGGGCATGGCGGTGTTTCACGGCCACTACATCGACGGAGGCTTTACGTTGCCGTTCTACAAGCAGCTGCTCGGAAAACCAATCACGCTGGACGACATGGAATCCGTCGACCCCGACCTCCACAACAGCCTTGTTTGGATCTTGTAAGAAGGAACATATTTCTTCATCAGACGTCAAGCATAGCTGCAGGCGGTGTTGCTTATGAGGCATTTTAATCAGTACTCTGCAGTTTTTTTGTTTTTTTTTATTCAGTGTTCTTGGAGAAAAGTACAATATGAAGGAATTACTCCAGGAGTACGTTAGTCTAAATACTTACAGCTTAAAAAATGATTTTTTTTCCCTACAATTTGTTTCAAGTATTTATTTACATTCTTACTCTTTTAAGTAAGATTTTCCTGCAACCTACATCTATTTGGATTAACATTTCATGTAGGGAAAAAAATAAAAAAGCAAAGCTGTTAACTTTTTTTCTCATAAAAAGAAAACAAATTAACTCTTTGAACTGTAGCGCCCTCTGGTGTTAAGGTTGTGGAACATCTCTTAAAATATGCAGCAGTTAAAAAGCCTCTTTTGTTTTGTCACTGACTGATAGTAAATACTGCTTTTATTATCCAGATAAGATTAATAATCATCAGTTAATCTAGTAATTCAAGCTTAAAACACTTTGCAGAGATGATTTAAGCAAATCTTTCAGTCAGATTGGTGAACCATTTTCTATCAAAGGAAAACTGTACAATAGACATTCGCTTGAATGTCTATTGTACACTGAGCATGCATGCAGTGACAGTGAAGAGGAAAAACTTCCTTTTGACAGGAAGAAACCTTCAGCAGATGGACAATAAAAAGACAAAAGGAGCATAAATGTGTTCTAAGTTAAAAAAGGTAGCAGTGAAGTAGCCCTATAGGTGGCTCAGATTGGGAAAGACGGTTTTCATGTCATGTAATCATAAATCCCCTCTAACCATCATGTAAGATCAAAGACTGACTGACACAATACACAGCATACAAAGAAGAAAAAAGTTAAATAATATAAGTAATAAAAAATACTAAGCACTGTCAAAGGCAAACAAATACACTTTAGGAATCAGTTTAATTATTTGTTTTATCTGCAAAAATGTTCAAATTGTGCTAAATTACAGTTAAAGTTACAAAGATATTAAAACCAAAAACTATTTTTCATGTTCCCAAATATCAGTTTCATTAATTCATTATCAAGATAAAGATGAAAATCATTATTACGAATAAATAATTTCACAATCACAGAAGCCAAACATGCTTTGCTTTATTTTGCAGTTTTAATTTTCCACTTTTCATTCTCCATAATGATGATTGTTCATGAAAGAGTTCCTCTAAATGCATGTTTATTTAAGTACATTTATATGATTTGGGTTTGCTGTTTTTCAAAAACTTTAGGCTGAAAGAGCTCATTAAAACCTGGTTAGGTGCAGCTATGTTCAGTGTCTGTCGACCCTCATCAAGCATCCATTATAGGTGGAACAGGAAGGAGACAAACACAGAACCCTGCTTTATGAAATACTGAATTTTATGATGGTACAGTTGGCATCAGCAACCATGGAAATTCACAAATAAAGTATTTATTTTTAGAATTTCACCTTTATTTTCTACTTAAAATTCATTTAATACATTACATTTTTTTCAAACCAATTGTGCAAAACAACTAAATGAATGCACCAGCCAGACCCTGTGAACGGATGTTCGCCAGGACACTCCGCTCAAAATTTGCTCTGCGCTCACCCTAATTTTCCTGCCGCTCTGGTGAAATCGCTCCACGTTTGCTCAAATTTTTAGGAGAAGGTATTTTCTGACATTTTTCCTTCATGTAATGATGCCAGGGCCCTGGGACACACGGCGTTTGATTTAATGACGTCCTTTAAAGAATATGTTTAACTGGCTGTTACATTATCACACTGTTTCCCAGCTGTGAACGTAACACCTCGTTCCATTCATGTTGCCCCATGTTTCCTATTTAACTATTCATTTATTTTATTATTTATTTTGTGGGCGCATAGGAGCGAACTGAAGCGGAGCCAAATCCTTGCTCCGGCCTTTGAATTGAAAACCGCTCCGCTCTGCTGCTCGCTCCATGCTCCGCACCGCTCACATGCTCTGGCACCAGCTGAACAATGTTTACAACAAAGTAATGGCAAATATGTATAAAAGTTTGCATAACAGCCACATAGCATTAAAGTCAGTAATAATGGTAACTCCTTCTACTTTATTGGATGAACCAATAAATTTTTATCATCGGTTATCATCATGTTCAAAATGGGTTTTTCATTAGAAGAGCTCTTTAAATGGAGTTACCCTTTGTGGACATGAACCTGTAGCTTTTTATTGGTGTTGAGTGACGTCGTGACCAGATCAGGTCCATTAAAACCTGCAGGCAAACATCAGGACAGGTTTTTGCTGGAGAGTAAAAAACTGCTTCATGAGCAAAACGTTGGACAGGTTTGTCAGTAAACGCTTTCTGAGTATTAAAGGAGTGTCTAATCCTTCTCCTCAGGGATAATGACATCACAGGCGTCCTGGACCACACCTTCTGTGTGGAACATAATGCCTATGGGGAAATCATCCCACACGAGCTGAAGCCCAATGGGAAGAGCATCCCAGTGACAGAGGAGACCAAGAAGGAGTATGTCAGGTACGGGACTGGACTTAGACAATGATAGCAGAGCCCCACAGCAGCTCCACCTCCTCACTGCTGTTTCTCCTCCTGTGATGTTTTATCTTGCTGACCTTCTTGACCTCCTTGCAGGCTGTATGTAAACTGGCGTTTCCTTCATGGTATCGAAGCTCAGTTTCTGGCCCTCCAGAAGGGCTTCAACGAAGTCATCCCACAGCACCTGCTCAAAGCCTTCGACGAGAAGGAGTTAGAGGTAAACCAGCATCAGAACCCATCCTAGAAACCGGCCATGCATCTCATTCGCTCTCCGTCTTCCGCTCTGTTTTTAATGTTCTAAAGAAGCGGGATTTAACGTGGGAATGAAATGTTTGCGCTTTCAGCTGATCGTGTGCGGCCTGGGAAAGATCGACATCAACGACTGGAGGTCCAACACTCGTCTGAAGCACTGCACCCTAGACAGCAACATCGTCAAGTGGTTTTGGAAGGCTGTGGAGTCGTTTGATGAGGAGCGGAGGGCCCGGCTCCTGCAGTTTGTTACTGGCTCATCCAGAGTCCCACTGCAAGGCTTCAAGGCTTTACAGGGTACTTAATGTCACTCGCCTCTTTTTATCCGATTACTTTAGAGAGCTGATGTCCAGATGTTGCTCCTATCTGGCTGCTGTTGCTTTAGACTGAATTTTAAACTCTGGTCTTGAATTATTTCATCCTACAAAGAAAAATGTTCTTTGATTGTTTAACAGGTTTCATAACAGACTGAAAGGTTGAAATGAATAAGCTTCCATGTTTGCATAGATATGGAAAAATGCTACTTGTTTTATTTTTTACTTTCATAGTTTATTTTGGTTTTGAGTGACTGACATAACCATCATTTCCTCTTTTAGGTTCCCTGAGATTCAAGATGTCAATTAAGCTTCTGCTTTAACGCATTTAAACATTTTTTTTTATCATTATAACAAAGAGTCAAAGGGTGATAGACGGCAGCCTCCGCTTTAAAGAATATGTTTGTTGTGTTGAACAGTTTAGTCCAAACTTTATAAATCTAAATTCTATAGAATTCTACAGAGCTATGATGTAAGATCTTGTAAAAGGTGTGAAAATCCGTTTTTTACTATGCTAGCAAATGGGAAACCAACTTCAGTAATGTGTTATTGAGGTCAATATTTTGACCTCAATAGCCAGAAAGTAACAAAAATGTATGTTGGACATTTTAAAAAAGTAGTCATATGTTGAACTTTTGTTAGAATAAAGTAAAAATAACTAAATAAATAAACTAAATATCCACACAGAAATTATGAAAATAATGGATATCATCTTTCCTGACTAACTAATCACTTCCTGAGGGACAAAAAATAAGAATGAGGTTACAGCCTGAAGAAATGTTAATGAATAAATGATTAATAAAAAAGAACATAAGGCCCTCCTCTCTACACAGATTGAAAGGATTTGCTTAATTTAAAGCCACTAAAATGTCAATATAAGTAAGTACATTTTTATTGAAATAACGGTATTTTCATTCTGTTTGATCAGGTAAGTTAAACCGTTTGCCAATGCGGATGTAAGAGGATATGACCTAATTATCTTATTTTAGAGGAAAAACTTTTCATACAATTATCAGATCATTTTAATTATGTACTTAAATGAAGGTAAAATAGGCCTATATTAGGAAATTCTTATTTTTCTTTAATTTAAGAAAAAAACTCAAACTGTTTTTGAATCCAGTTTTTGGATGTACTTGTTTACACCTGGGAAATTGGGATTTGTTTTAAATGTCCTTCTTACTCTCAACAAATTTTAAATATCAACTAAATGGAATTTGCTTGAAAAGGAAGTTTAAAAAAAACTGGACAAAATCCCAATCAGCAGTTGTTTTTGGAATCATTGGTCACGCTGAGGATGCTGTTAGTTGACTGTTTGTTAAACGCTGCTATACTATATTTTCTTAATTTATTGCAGGATTATTACAATCCCAAATCCTCCGACTCCGCTCTGCTGAGCTCCAGACCTCCTGCGCAAATCAAACCCTACAGCCTCCGCTGTTTTTCCCGTGTTGCTCCCCTCCGACTTCCTCGGAGCTCAAGGAGAGCATGCGCGATATTAGTATTAATTCAAGAGCAAAACATGCGAAAATGAACCCTTGAATTAATATGACATATTAAAAAAACTCCCCACCATCATCCAGCCAGCATATGTTCACTTTCTGCCCAAATACTTTCTTTTTGTTGTGGATTTTTGTAACAGGGATAACTAGGATCATCCATGGTTTATATGAACTATGTTTGTTCTCTGCTTCCAAACTCAGCATCTCTTCATCCAGGCCTGAGATGAGAGGTTTCTTTTGAAGTAATGAGATGCGCTCTTAGAAATTTTGACAGGATTTTAGAAACTTTTAAGCCTCTTAGACTAGTATAAAATAAATATTTTGATCAAGATGAGAAATCTGCTTCCTGGTATGTTGAAGTACCAATAGTTTGCATCCAATCATTTAAACAAACGTTCTTAGTTTTGGGGAATATATGAGCTCACCAATGAGCCTGGAATGGCTTTAGAATGGCTTAGTCTCCATTCAAACCCAGGTTTAAAGCCTTGCAGGGCAGCCTAAAGCCCACTGCTCTCATTAAGACAGAACAAAAGAAAGGAAAATAGCAAATGGTCAGTTCAGGTTTTTTATTAAAATATGAGAGTCAGGAAATTGTCTATATACCAAATTGAACGCTTTGTTGTTCTCTACTTTAAAAAACACTTCAGATCTTTTTTATTTTTTCATATTTTATTTTCTTTAAAAGTCAATGGATGCATAAAAACCTCATTTTATTCAGTATTAAATTCTGTTTAAAGTAACAGATTATTAAAAATGTCTGCGGACCTTGATGATTTTCTTTATTCGTACCCCGCTGATTTTTAATTGTTCACCCCTGGAATAAAGTATACATGTAACCATCACTTCTCCCAAAAAGTGCCTGTTAGTTCACTTTAAATAACACGCTGCTGACATGTTGTACGTTTTTACTGTTGGGGACAATAAAGGGATTTTCTATTTAATTTGTAATCATTCTTAAATATGTTTATTTTATCACATCAGATTAAATTGCTTAATGAATTAAAATAAGAATAAGTACTTAATGGCGCAGCGTATTATCTAATGGTGCATTTCACGATTTAATGGTGTACTTAAATGTTTGAATAATGCTCTGGATAAATGTCACATCTTCTTTCATGGAACATGTATTTATTTTATGGAGAAATTCACATTTGCATATTCAATTTTATACTTTTGCAGTCTTCACTCATGATATTTTTAAATTATATCCAAATGTGCTGATTGTACAGCGCCAGTTGGTAAAAGTTGATGCCGACTGTCTTCGGCCAATGATGTTGCAGCAATCTCTCAGACTCAGCTGATTGTGTGGACAGCCATGATGGTTTTTTTCTAAAAGAAAGCTTTAAAATAATCTCTAATTGTGGCCTTAAACTAAGTCCGGTTTGTTTTTATTGCAGGTGCAGCAGGACCCAGACTCTTCACCATTCATCAGATTGATGCCAACACCAATAACCTGCCCAAAGCTCACACCTGGTGAGGCCCACATCAAGTCGTTAGAGGAGAAAACTTTTATTTTATGGTTAAAAAATACATTTTGTTTAGTTTTCTTTCCATTTGTCTTTGCACATTATTAGTTTTTTTCATTTAAACGTAAAGGTCAGCATTCTTCTTGTTCAGGTAAACGCTTGGCTGTGAACCAGGTTAGTGTTTCAGGTATTCATGCTGTTTATTTTTTCTTTGTTCTTCAGCTTCAACCGGATCGACATTCCTCCCTACGAGAGCTACGACAAACTGTACGACAAGCTACTGACGGCGATCGAGGAGACGTGCGGCTTTGCAGTGGAATGAGGCTACGTGTCGTCTGACGCAGTCGTGCTGGACTCTGATGAAACCTTGCCGCTTTAACACCTCCCCCTCCCCCCTCCGAGGACCCCAGCCTACAGTCTTCCTCCTCTCCCACCCACTTCCACGTTCCTCCATCATCTGTTCAAACTGCAGCTGCATCCTGTCTTTTCTTTGGTCTCGGTTCTTTATTTTTTGCTCTCATAAAAAAATAAAATAATTTAAAGGTTTTTAGGAAATTGTTACCAGCTTCAAAAATGTACCATTGACACATAAGAACAAATTGCTCAAGCTACTGAATCTGTAACACTGCAGGTAGCTGAGTCATTCCATTAGTAGCCATCTTGGTCTCAGTTTATCCCTCTAAGTCCTCATGGCTGCAGAGCTGGTGTTCCTTCATCCTGCTGGAGCACCTTGGATTCACCCTACCTCAGTATTTGAAGTTATTCATCCTAAAATGCTGTGGAGCAGCTTAACATTTTTAATGAATTGTTTCTTCACACCAGCAGTCATTTAGTACTTAAAAAAATAAAATCTGTATCAGGTGGAAAGAGGCCGTCAACATTATGCAGAATCTGGAGATTAAGGCTTTTTTCATCCCAAAACGGAGCAGGGTGGCTAAAGATTTAGTATCCCTTAAATTGCTTTGTTACATTACAGCCTCATACTCGTTTGTGTAAAGGTAGACGATTAGCATTTTTAATGCGTCGAAATCTATAAAAAGTGTGTATTTTACATTCAGCACCCTTTCACTCAGAAAACAACTCAAATTAGAGGGAGGGATTAATCTGAAAGTTCCCTTTAGGTCTGAGTTAGTCCAGGTACTGCTGGGCTTTGATCCAATCAGTTCCTTGGTAACGGTTCCTCTGGTAACAGTTCCTCTGGTAACGGTTCCTCTGCTGGTAGGTCTGGTTTTGTCCTGTCAATGGATGTAATTGGCTTTCCTCCAGTAGCGCTCTGTAATTATTTCCTATTAAACCTGACCAGTTTATCTGCTCCGCTGATGAAAACATCCCCAACATGAAGTTTTCCCTCAGTTCTTTGCATATGACTGTACAAATAGTTTTTGCTTTACTTTGTTTCAGAATTAATCCATAGAAAACTCTTTGGCTTCCTGCCTGCCGGATCTGAGGAGTTTACACCTAACTCTTGTCCTGCTGGCAGACTGTTCCACAGCTGATCTGGTTTCATTTCCTGTCGGTTATGGCTGACGGCCGTCTGTGGGGAAAGTTTGCCGTTGTGGTTGCAGAGGATGTTAATTAAAGGGTATCTGAGTAAAAGGGGTTGAAATCATATACACACCTAAGTTTTTTCTGTTTAAACGCAAATTCATGCATCGTCCTTCCACCTTACAATTTTGAACTGACCTGAAAGAAATGCTGCAAAATGCGTCGCAGTGATGCACTTTTTGCAAACCGAAGATGTGAAAAAGTGCAAAGTATATCAATACTTCAGCAGACACTGCATGTCTGTATCAGTCCGCACGCACACAGACGCGTTCTAGTTACGTTTCATCTTCAGTTTGCCGTATCTCAATGCAGAGCTGATGAAACCTCACTTTTTTCTGGGGCTCATCTTCCTCCTCACCTCTGCACACGACTGTCTGCAGCAGCATGCACGCCTGTGATATGCTGTTGATCTAACCCCAGACCACTCGCTGATGGAACATAGCTGAAAAAAGGAGACACACACACACGGGAGGAGGTTTTAAGCAGATTGCTTTTCTTCGTCACATAATTTTAGATTTTCTCACTTTTTACACTTCAGAGCACTTTACGAAATGCGCAGTGATGGCATGAGTGCTACTTTTATGTGGGATTAAAGTATATCGTTTCCTTTTGTGTGTGTGTGTGCGCCCATATTAGTTATAAGCAGATAAAAAGAAGTATCTATAGACCTGTAATTTTTAAGTATATATGTACCATGATATAGCTATTTTGTATATTGTTGCTTGTTTTTCTTTGGTTTTAATTGCACGCATGTTAAATCTCTGCATTCTCAGGTGAAGTTAGAAGTTTTTTTTCTTATTTTATTTTATTTTTTTTACAAAAAAGAAATAAATTTGGCTAATATGTGAAGAATCTAAAATTCAGAAAGCTTTTCTCCCTGTAGGCGGCCATCATGCAAATAGGAATATTTAGGTCCGTTTCACAACTGAAAATTTGAATTCCACCGCTGAAATGTTTTATTATTATAATGCATCAAATGGAAGTTAAGGATGCAATGCTTTTAACTAATCGGGATGTAATGGGTGAAACCATCATCAGCTCTCTGAAAGCCAAACAGTGAGACGCTCCTTTATGAACGGAGGAAGTATGGATGGATGTTTGAGTTTATTTTTTAATAGTTTTTCTGTTGTTTTTTTATATATATATTTTTTGTCAAGGGAAAAAATATCAAATTCATTTGTATACATTTAATTGCAGCCATGAACCCGATTCATATCACGTTTATATCAGGCAGGAGGAACACGAGTACGGAACGTATGCAGTCCTTGCGAAGTTTGCGGGAATTCAACAAATTATGCATCTAAAACTTTTCTATTAACCGTACAGTTATTGGACTGTTTTTTTAATGATTTTAATCATGTTAACACATATTTGTCACTACCCCTCCAATCAGTGCAGAACTTTGCAGCATTCACTTTTTTGAAAGCAACAAACTTGTACATTCTCTAGATTTGACACCATAAAAAAAAGCATTGGTTTAAAAAGATATGTAGCAATCTTTAACCTGTTGCAAGTCAAAATGTTGAATACACGCTCCTCCCCCTTGTTTGGAACATTTAAACATGGATGCCACATTTTCTACATGCATGTTTGTCTGGGCCCAGTAGAGCTCAAACGGTTTTCCGAAATGTATGTTTAAATTTTTGTGTCTACGTCTGAGATTTTTTGGGGATTCAATTCAGTAAAAAGAAGCAAACCCTGTTTTGTTTTTTTTTCTAAAACATTTTTATGGCATATTTCCTTTGATTTTTATATTTATTTCAACAGTATACATTTGTTCATAGTTTCCACTTTAGCTGCTCTGTGAGTTTGTAACTTACACTTGTACATAAGGACAATAAAGACGCAAAGTAAGAAACTTCTTATACCCTTGCAGAACACTGAGCAATAAAAAAGTATGCTGTTTGAACCCAACAGCAGTATCTTTTATAGAACAACATGCATTATTGTCTTTTTTTTTGGTGGTGAAACTAAAACACTGATTATTTCTTAATGTGTTTTAAATCTGAAAAATATTAGAACATTTTAATTTAAGCTTTCCACTTGGTAACGTAAGTTATTCTTAAAATGTTGCTGAGTAATCTTTTGTGGAGTTAAACATCTGCAGTGTTAATGATGTAGCCTCGTGAGACCATCCTGATCTCGCGAGCTTTCAATATTTCACTCGCTAATCAGTCTGGAGATACGGCTTGGAGCCGTTCACCAAACGAACGTCCAATCAGCGTTGGCTTTGAGGCGGGTTGAGGTGTGACGCAACGAGAAGCGCGAAAGTTCAGTCTAAAGAACATGGCGGCTTCAGCCGATGAAACTAGCGTTAGCATGGCTATCGAGCAAGTTTTATCGGAATTACAGAGTATTTCTTCACTGAAAGAAGAGCAAAACACTGCTCTGGAGGCTTTTCTCAGAGGAAAAGATGTTTTTGCTCTTCTCCGGACTGGTTTCGGCAAGAGTTTGATCTATCAATTGGCTCCTCTTCGTCGTCGCTCTGTTACGTCATATGCTTCGTTGATCTGATTGGTTTATTTGGCCCGTCTATCACCAACATAGGCCAATCAGCTAACCAGTATTTTCGCCCCTTCCCAAAATTACTTCTATGGAAGGTTTCCATATGGATATGCGGAGCAAATCCATCTGGCGGAGTCAGGTTATTAATGATGTCCCTAAGATTAAAAAATAAAAATAAAAAATCATCTCCGAAACCTGAAAATCTGCTAAAACAATTTAACATTACTTTTTTTTTTAACCGTTATGAAGTAGTACAGTTTTTTGTTGATATTTAACAGCACATTGTTTATATCATACTATTTGTGAAGAGGAGTCCATTTCAATAAGCAGGTTTAGCAAACTCAAATCCTCAACTCTCAATTCATCTAGCTTAAGGTGGGAAACTGAGTTTTAAGTTTCATAAAAGCTTCTATGCATTGTTCAATCAACACGAAGTAGGCCTACTGAGTTGAAAACATGCATAACAACTATACAGTCATATGAAAAGCTTTGGGCACCCCTATTAATCTTATTTCTAAATATTTGGGTGTTTGCAACAGCTATTTAAGTTTGATATATCTAATAACTGATGGACACGGTAATATTTCAGTATTGAATTGAAGTTCATTGGACTAACAGAAAATGTGCAGTACGTGTTAGTTATCAGGGCAAATATTAGAAAGGATGTATTTTATTAAGTTATCATGATAGAGCTTAGAAAGCTGGCAGTATTAATCTTGGCTAGTGGTTTGTGTTTATTAGACTTGTTTTTAGGGACCACTTTTCCTGGCAGTCATGTTTTTGGTTTGAGGAAAAGTTTCCAGAGAGGTTCCACACATACAGAAGGATATCATGCAAACTCAGTGCAGAAAGGCAACGTCTGAACCCAGGATCTACAGAGTTGCACTGCAGAAATCTAGAAACACCTAGATTTGCCTTGTTTTTGCAAATAACCTTTAAAAAAATTTGCATTTCTTGTAAAAAAAAAAAAAAAAAGGTTTAATTTCATTTTCTCATTTTAAGGGGTGAAATCTGCATCATGTAGAGACAGAAGATGAATTTGAGAGTTTGATGTTAATTATTTTATTTGTACAACGGAATAATTCAGCTGAGGGTGGCTGATGGACACCATCTGCTATAGCTGCAAGGATCCAGACTGAAAGCTTCCACTGACCTACTGCAGCATTTACTAATGTCGAAGAAGCCAGCATCATCGACCTCCTGGGTCTTCCTGGTGAGACTTTGTGAAAGTCAGTGTAAGGTCATGAAATGAGATCGTTCTTTACCAGAAACATTGCTTCTGTGAGAACAAATTTGATTGGACCAACCTGCTGGATGACAGACCCCTACAAACGGCTCTGGGCTCAGACTGTCGAGTCTATCTCACGTTCAGTAGATTGAAGAGATTTGTGTTTATGGACGTCTGTGTCACTGCTCGTACAGGATTTTTTTAATTAGTAAGCTTGGTTCATGCTAATAATAATAATTGAACTACATTAATTTCACTCTGGAGAAATTCTCCTCTGCATTTAACCTATCTCTGTGGTGAGCATTGTGGGGTTAAGGGAGCCAGAGTGGCGGTCTGTGGGGCTTGAACTCAGAACCTCCAGCAGCCAAGCGCAATGCTTTAACCATTAGGTCACCAATGGAAACAGAAATTCTTTACCATTTTATTAAACGCAGATTTTAAGGCCACATTTATAGAAACTTTTATGTATTTCATTATTTATATAAAATAAATGCAGGAATAATAATTTTTCAATTTCTGCTATTAAATTTCAAGTAAATGTGAAGACATTATTAAATAAAATAGATTTTAGTTGAGGTGCTTTCATATTGTATATGCTGCATAGCTAACATTTGACCAATTAGGTGTCTGGTCTGCTAATGGTTAGCATTAGCAAATATTGAACTTATCCAGAAGGAAAGTGGCTCCTCCGCCCTTTGCTTCCTTACGTTAGCATCAAGATCCAAACCTCTGCCGTTGTTCTCCCTCGTTTTGCTTCTTTTGGCTTGAAATTGACTAATTAACACTTAAAAGTTCAACCTACTATTCCTATTAGTACAGAAGTTGGAATGGTAACCAAAAGTAAATATTTAAATACATGGACCAATCAAATTGTATAAAACAGTTATTTATCTGCTGTTTTTCCCCTTTTAGTAAAATCAATACTTTATTCAGCACCATTGAAGAGGTTTGGTTTTAAATAAAAATACTTTTTAAATAATTTTGATGAAAATGTAGCTATGACCCATAATTAACTGTTGCACAGGAAAGTTGGAAATAAAGAATATGAAATTATGTAATGAATTTAGTAAATGTTCAGGTTTTATGTAAATGATGAAATATACGTATTGATTCTGTTGGGTTCTGGAATTAACAGTTGACCTCGTCTGACTTACAGTAAAGTGTGTCCCAGTGCCGTCCTCCGTTTGGGTTTCCTCCTCGAACTTTTGACTGAAATGTTTTTATCCTATAAGCCTTAAAACAAAGTAAAATGTACATCTTATGCAAATAAATTTAATGAATTTAAACCAGTGATTCCACACATTTAATAGATGTTGATGTTTGTTTTTGCTTCATATCCACAAAAAACAATGTGTGCAGAATTAAGAGGCAGAATCAGTGGGTCTTTTTAGGTTTCATGATTTGGTTAAAAATAGAGTAACAATCAAGCAGAGGTTAAAGTGAATTCATAAACAGACTGATTACCGTTGCCCCTGGTGACCAGAGATCAATCCGGGTTAATTTAAAATCAAACATTAAAGTTAAATAAATAATCCCCTCATGGTTTACGTATTAAAAAGGAAGACATCTTGTGTAAAAGGAAGATAAAGTTAAAACTCGTCAGTGTGACAACTTTCTCTCTGCGGTCCTTATTTGGCAACAAAGGGAACATTTCATTGTTTCACAATAAAAGCACAAATGACTGCAGTCAGGACAATAAAACATTCTTATTCAACACGTTGAACCGAGGAGGAGGAGGAGGACGAGGAGGAGGAGGACATGGAGGAGGACTTGGTCCAAGACGTCTGAAGTTCAGGAGTAGCAGCAGAAGGGAGGAAGAGTTAGCTACATGAGCTAAAGCTACATTTTGTCAGTGTGTGAAATTCATTAATAAAATTTAAGATTGCGTTCTCACACTCGTCACGTTCTCTTCTGTGCAAATCAAAAAAAAAAAAAGAGGCCTGAGAAGGTTTGTGCGTTAGATTCTTGTACCGTTGGTTCTGAATTACAGTAATCTGCTGCAAGTCTTTCCGCGGATGTAGATATAATCCCAGATTTGGACCTGCACTGCTCTGGTTTTCCTGGTCAGTGTAGATAGCTGGTGTTGTACTGGAAGGAAGCCATGTTCACTCTGCTCCGCAGCCTCTGGACCTCTAGATCCTGGAAGTAGTCGTCCTCATCGTTCTGGATGATGATTCTCTGTAGGTCCCTAATTTCCCGCTCCATCCGAGAACGCAGCTCTCGCTTCATTTTCAGCAGAGCCTGTAAACATAGAGGACTGGAATAATGCCTCTGAAGTTGAACTTTCCCAGACGTGGAGAGTTTTAACATGACTAAAGCCGGGCATACACTAAGGGTGTGCAAAATAATCGTCATGACGATGCATCGCGATTCTAAGTTTTGTGATCTACTGCATCGATTCTTGAAGGCAAGCGTCGATTATAAAAAAAAAAATAAAAAGGAACAAATAAAATACATAAATGGTTGGCGCACATCAGCCAAATCAAGTGGAATACAACTTCCAGTCCAGCAGATGTCACTGCGGATGTGTTGACGCCCGCTGCCTTGTGTCACTAGCATTTCCGGCCGTGGGATACTGCGACGGGTCATATGAAATAAACATGGAGGACACTATGAAAATTCACCCCGCGGTTCCATCACATTTCAAGTCAGAAGCTTGGATGCATTTTGGCTTTAAAAACAAAGAAGGTAAAAACTAAATTGATATGATGCACGTAATTTGCAAAAGGGAAAATATACATTTGAATGTTTTCGTTTCATTGGTTTAAAGGACCACTGAGGCCATGTAAACTGCACTGATTATCCTTATTTTGTTATTTTACGTTTGATGAATCCTAAGATCTTTTTGTCAGTGTGTCCACGCCAGTAATAGTAATATTTCTGTCCAGTATTTCTTTTCATGGAAACACCTCCAAAAGTCGTTTCAATAAATACATCTATGTATGAATTCAGTTGCTTTCAGTTATGTATCAATTGTAGACACGATCCAGATCACACACAACCAGTCAGCCACTGGTAATGGCTGTATCTTTTTCTTACAGTGTTCGGTAAAAATATCGCAATGCATCGCGATGCATCGCAATATTTCAAGTATCATGATGCATCGTGATAGAATCGCATCGTGGCATGTGAATCGTGATTCGAATCAAATCATGACTTCTTTGCCAATACCCACCACTAGCATACACTGTGAAATATTTTCACTCGTTGCAGGCAGCTACAGCTCAAACAGTACAACAAAACCGCAGGGTTTAAAAGTTCTCCTGACCTTATGCTCCCTGATCAGGAGGTGGTTGTGAAAGGCAGATCTCCCCTCGTTACCTCCTGTACTCTACACGACGCGCGATCAGGCTGAAACTCTGCCTGATAGAAAAACTATTACATGACTGGAGAATCGGCCCGAAAAGGGCAAAAAAATCCTACAGTGTATGCCCGGCTTAAATAAGATTTTATTGGTTTATCTGTTTATGCTCAAATTTAAATAATAAACCAAATTGGTTGTGGAGAGCAAAAGTGCCCCTGCTGGACATGCAAAAAAACAAAGCCTGGAAGGAGGGGAGGAAGGTAAGTTGAAGCATAGAGGAACAGAGAATGGCGGCTAAATCATTTAGTCAGTGGAACATTTACTAAAAGTACGATTTCATTTTTCTATTTTTTCTTACACTTATTTAGATCTAGAAAACACCTTGGATCCATCCAGGTTGCCCCAGTCAGACCCTGATAAAAATAAACTCTCCCGGAACATTTATTTGGTTGATAAGAACCTGGGACTTTTAATCACTGCTGTGACGATGATCCCAATGAGGGCAGAAGACTCCTTCACATCAGATCTACCTGGTTCTTTACAACCTGCCAGTCAGATAAAAGTCAGAGTTTCTTAACCCTGAAAACACGTTTTTTTCTCTAGGTTTTGTCAGAGCATGACTAACTGGATCGCCCACTGCAGTATTCCGGGGGTCAAATTAACATTGAATCATGTTTACAGAGGAAAAAGGTAAGCACTAGCCAGAATCTAAGAAAACTGATTTGAGAGACTTGGAGAACAAATGGAGAGCTATTTTTAGGGTCACATGTTGGAAGACTGTCAGAAAAACCTGGTATGGAGCAGCCGGATCAAATATCTGTTGCTGGAAGAATAGATGGGCTGTATATGAAGCTTTAATGCTGAGGAAATGTAGTAAATATTAAGAATTTTGAATGTTTATTGGGAAGCATTTACCTTTTCTTGAGCTTTTTTCCGAGCCTGGATCTCTTGCCGCTCCTCTGCAAGTTTTTCAGCAAGTAGTGAAAACTGAGGGGGAATAAAATGCATGTCATTACTGTGGAAATTAGCCAATTTATTTCCCTGATAGCTTTTTTTTTTTGGAAGGTTTGAATCTTACCTGATCCTTGTAGTAGTTCTCCAAGGACTCGATCTGATCCTGGTGTCGTCTCTGATGCTCCAGTCGCTGCTCCTTGGCGTAGGCTCTCTGCTCCCTCACTCTGAGCTTCTGTAACTGCAGACCTTCTTCAAAGAGCTGCCGAAACATCTGCACACAGATATATCCACATCTGTCTCATTTTTACAGGTAAAACAAATATTCAGAGTAAAAAGAAAAAGTCAACAGAAAACTTCAAAGTTAAGCTCTAATTTTCTTTGTTGCTTTTTTTCTTAAACTATAACCTTAGAAAATAAATAAAAAGTGGATAATTTGGAAGAATTAAACAGCCTAGACAGGAACAGTTATATATTCTAACATGTTGTTAGCATGATGATACTGCCCACCTTCTCCTCCTTAGTGCGAGCCCTCATGAGGCGGGCGCTGTGCTGAACATGGTAGTCGTTGTGGTATTTCTTAGCTCGGGCGACCTGCTGCCTCTGCTCCCTCAGTCTGTTCTGCACAGACTTCTGCTGCTGGATGCGCTCTTTGAAATCCCGCTGAAACATCAACATTGACTCATTTAAAAATCCCCACGTGTGAGAGTGCAGCTAGTGGGCGAAAAACTAGTTCATGTATTTTTACACGTCTGCTAAACGTATGGGTCTGCTGATGCTCACCAGACGTCTGCTGTGGTCCTGGTCTTTATGCACGAGATCCACCAGCAGGTCATGTTTCCTCTGAGCTTCCTCCAACTTAAAGACAAGGAGGAGTTTATGTTACAAAGATCACAGATGTTAGCTCTGACCAAGCAGAGGAAGAATGATATTTTGCAAACTAAACTATGCAGAGTTCCTGTAAAAGTTTTGGATTTGACTATTAGTCTTTTTTCCTACTTCTGCTTCTCCTCTTAGTAAATTCTGCTTAATTATTTTAAATTGAACATAAAGGAGGAAGAACTCTGCAAACCAAAGTCTGAGATGTTTACTTGAAAGTTTGTGTGGGAATAATAACTGCATCTGATGTCAAACCCAGGGATTAGTCCATGCCCAACTCATGCAATAACATCATGTTTTAATAGATACTGCAGTGTGCAAGATCTCAAAAAGTGAGGGAAAATGTGCAAGGGAAACTAATTCTCATGCATTTGAACTAAAAACCTATCATATATGTTTTGTTTAACAAAGCGTACATCGAGCTGTGGTTATTTTAGGATTCTTCAACTCTTCTCACCTGCTTGGAGAGTTTGTAGTGATGTGGACTGTGCGAGGAGGATGAAGCACGGAGTCTGTCCACCTGCTGCATTTGCTGCTCCCACATTCGGCCCAAAGCATGAGGAGAGACTTGAAGGTGAGGCAGTTCCTCCCGCAGCAAAGGGAGAAGTTCATTCTCTTTTATTCTCACTGGTTAGAGGGAGATGGAGAGAAAATATCATCATGTTTGCCAAAATCAAACCAGCGGCTGCATCCTAATATTCACTGCTTTTAGATTATGCTTGGGGGGGGGGGGGGGGGGTCTTAGATATTGGAAATAGAAGCCATTACACAGAACTATTAAGTCCTGTTAGCTGGAAATTAAGCATCGATTGATCACCAGTTTGTCACTTGACTGGACTGAGAATTGTGCAACTTATAGGCCACTTATTGTGCACACTCTCTGCTCAGATATGATATACGCACCTCTCATCCTCCTCGATGTTCCTGCAACATGTCACCTTATCTGTGTTGCTTTTGCTATGTGATTACGTTTTTTTTTTGCAATCTCAAACTGTATCCTGCTAAGGATTTAAGTAGTAGACTGACAGACTTTTTTCTATTCCCTCGCCTAATGTGATCCCTTTCTTTTTGTTTTTCCCAAACGCTGCAGACATCCCATCTCCCCCATGTCTGTATATTGTCTGTGTGCTTTGTATTTTCTTGGATGGGCTGTACCGAAACTGAAATTTCGCTCTACTGGAGTGCCACTCCAGAATCCTTTATATAAAAACCTCATCAATTATCACTTGTCTGCTTTGTGGAAGCAAAAGGTAAAAGTTTTCTGTTATTGAGGCAAACCATTCTATGACAATTTCAACTAAATAAACCGGTATTTATTGAAAAAAATCACGACAGCAAAATCACTTGTTTTCTGTCTAGAGATTTTGTCTAGACTCTCTGTCATAACAACTGGAAAACAGGCTATAACCTGCATCTGTTAGAATATCACATTTTCCAAACAAAAAGGTTATTTTATTAATAAATATATTAAAGGGAACTGGGCCCAGATGAGAGGGCCATGAAACACCAATAGATAAACAGAGGTTAAGAAGGGGAATGCAGATCTAAGAGCAAAGAAAATCATCTGGGGATAATAGTTAGGTCTATAAGCAACAGTTTTATTTATAAAATAAAAAGAAACACAGGAACCTTGTTTTCTCGTTCCGGTCTAATAATTTATATCTGTTATTTGCAGTCAGTCTGGAGCTTCAGTCAGCCATTTACTGTACAGTAGTAGCCATTACATTTTCCCCACTTTCCTTGATGGGTCCTTAGCTGGTCTCCTACAATTCCTCTTAAACATCAATCTTTGTACTAAAATATTCTTTCTGTCATGATTTGTAGACATTAAGATCTAAAGAGAAGCGTCGTCTCCTGGTCTGACCCTGTAATTCAGTGAAAGAGAGTGAGTGGAGTTACTTCAAGAGGGGGTCACTGCCGTTCTGCTGGCGTTTGACTGGGAAGGGCCATTTTAAATGGCTGCTACTGTAAAGGTTTTGACTTACATGATGGAGCTTTCTTGGGGCCGTCGAGGCTTTTTTGTGCGACTGGTTGTGCTGTTCGTGTTTTTTTACGTTGCGTCTTTGTTTTGCTGGGAGACGGTCTGGATGATGGGGAAACATCTCGTAGGATGGCCTCCCTGTACTCTTGCTCCTGCAGACAGAACACACCTCCATGCTTTAAGCTGGCTTGTGTTGAAACATTTCAATCATGTTGATCTCATCAATAAATACTGGGCGGTCTCTCACAGCAAGAAATGGTGCATAGTTTTATAACATTTAGAAAATATTTCCGCTCATATATTTTATGTAACAGTTTAGTAGCAGAATTATAAAGTATTTACACATTTTTAAAGCATATCTTGAATGCTTATTCTTGGCTACTTTAATACTAATACAGTATGTTTATAACTTACAGCCTTCTGAGCATTGAGGCGGGCTTTGTGTAGTTTTGTCCGCTCTCTCTCTTCATATCCCCTCAGCTCCTCTTCATAAGCTTCATTCTCCAGATGCTGAAAAATGCAGAGTTTTAGGTATAACACTTAAGAAGTCAGGCACACATTGCTTCATGTAAAGCAAATGTTTTAAACCGTTGGTTCTCAGTCATAAAAGACATTAGAAACAAATAATCAAGCGAAAACTTTTATTTGAAGTAACCAAACCTGGTTGTAATTTCTCCGAGGCGGCCTGAAGTGTGACTCTCCCTGTTTTAAAGGGTCAGTAACTTGGAGGTTAGTCTGTCTCCCGTCATCCAGGCTCAAAGCCTCTGCAATGGCTTCCTCTAGCTGTCCGTGTAAGGAGCTAGGATCGCGAGGAGGAGAAGGTGACGCAGAGCGTGTTTGCTCAGTGGATTGCAGATCAGGTGAGCCTGTGGGCATTAAATGTAAAGTTTAACACATAACAAGACTGTAGGTGAGATTATTCTGCGTGGAGAACATCATATGGATAAAACTCTAACCTATGCGTTGTCTTAAAGTCCTCTGACCCTCCATGATGCCGTCACTGCAGCCGGACTGCCTGTCCGCCTCCCTCGTTTCACTGGACTCATCACTTTCTCCCAGAACTCGTTTCAGCATCTACAGATATTTGGGTTGTTTGTATAAAGGCACGTCACAGAAACATGTGATTTGGTCTGCACCTGACGTCATACACTGGTTTGACTCGCACTCATTATAGCCACAGTCTTCTTAGAGATTCTGTTTTGTAGATGTTAAAAACATATCCTCATCTGTTAGGAGTGGATTGAGACGTTCCTCTAGCTTTATCACCAGGCCTTGTTCTGTTTCCTTATATGTGCTACCTAAGGGCTACATTACCATGAAATATCAACCTCTAAGCTGATGACACTCAGCTATATCAGTCCAGTTTATTTACATAGCACCAATTCACAACCCATGTCATCTCAAGGCACTTTACAATTCAACCAGCGCATCCAGTCAAATTGATTCAAAGTTTTCTATCTAAGGAAATTCCAAAAATGTAAAAAAAAAAAAAAAAATCCACTGGACTTTGTTTCCAAGTATGAAGATGTTTCACCTCCCATCCAGGAAGCTTTCTCAATTCAAAAAGCCTTGTTTTAACTTAGAAAATTAGCAAATTGAACCTGAGGAAAGGGTCTGCCCCTTGGGAATGGGGGGTCGTTGGGTTCTTTGTTAGCCTGCAATACCTGATACCTGTCTGTGTCTATCTAAGGAAAATCAGTTGATTGCATCGACTCATTGACTCTTCAGCAATCCCTCACAATGTAACCTGATAAATGCAGGGACCAAAAAATATGACGGCATCAAGCATTGGATGCCTTGTAGATTTTATATGAGTATTATCATAAAGTTTAACTAGTAATTTGAAAACTAAAATATTTTTTGGTGGCTTCTCTAATATTTGAGTATATAATATTACAATTATGAATGCAGCAATCAAAAGAAACATTAATAATTGCTTTAGATAGATTCTGCATGGTCCTCCTCAAAAATAACAATAACTAGCACTAAGCTAGTTAACATACAGGCCAACAATATTCCAACACTTCAGCCATCGCTGGTTGTTAACACTGCTTAGGCATAATAACATGCTATACATATATGAATAAAAATGGGGTAATTTAGGTCAATTATCTAGAAAAGAGAGCAATGGGGTGAGAGTGTGAATGACTGCTGCTGTGTCTCATACACACCAGATCCAGTTCCTCCAGCCGCAGAGAGAGCTTCTCAGATATGTGGTGCAACTCCTCCTCTGCTTCCTTGTTCCTTCTCCTCCGATTAGCCAGAGACTCTTTTGAACTTTCTGGTACCGTCCTGCTGCTTTCAAGATAAGAGACAGATGTTGACTGAAAATGTAGTTTTTATTTTCTTCTTGCTCAAGTTTATAATACCGATTTCGTACATTCTGATTTGGAAAGACTTTTGATAGATACTTCTGTTAAAATATCTAACAGATAAAAAAAACAAAAAAATAAGTCCATGCTGATGGTCTGACAAAACCAAATTCTTACCGAATGTCTGTCTGTTTTCTGTGACTTCTTCCTCTTTCCCTAAATCGTTGTGTATAACTCAGATCTTCCTCGTCCTCCTCAGTGTCTGGTGGTGAAGGCGTGGCGGCCGCCCCCTCATCCTGCAGGGTGAGAAAGAGCACATCTGGCTGGGTGCGAAATAAAACCCTCCTTGGACCTCCATTAGACGGCTGAGAACAGAAGAACAAAGCATAGCAAACAATCAGATTTGGGGGGAAATGAAAGACTACATTTGTTCCACATTTAGACTGTAAAATCATACCTCCAGAGTCTCTCCTTCCATTTCTGTCTCACTTCTTTGCGGACTAGAAAGAGATTCCTCACTTTCAGCTGGAAGTTAAACCAGAAAAGATGTCAAGAATGATGGGAAAGCTTCTCCCTTTGGTATAGTAGCTTAAAGGAGAAGTTCAGTTTTTTTCAATTTAAGCCCATTTTCTGTAGTGTCCAGGATGAAATCGAATGATCGACACCAAAATTTTGACAATTGGTCCTGTCTCTGCTTTTTGGCTCATTTAGAATCACCCCCTGGCTGCTTCAGAATGGCTTCCATAGTGCATGTCCGATAATGTCCTTAAAACAACCTTAAACGTTCTTTTTTTAAAATATGCTACTCACCGGGTCGTCAGCGCTGTTCAATGACGTTCCAAAAAAGTTTCGTGAAGAAAAAAACGTTCCTGTAGTGTTTTATTTAGCATTTTGTAAATCCCATTGAGTTCTGTAGGAATAGTCAATATTCCCCTGCCACCGGAAACGGAAATGGGGCCTGTTTACACAGTTGTAGTCTTTTCGCTTCACTCTGTGTACTCCGACGTCGAGAATCAAGAATCCACCTTTCGTATTCCATTTTCAGAGTTTTTTAAAGTGTTTAACAGAGACGTTAGCACCTCGACGTCGGAGTACACAGAGTGAAGCGAAAAGACTACAACTAAGCGTAAACAGGCCCCATTTCCGTTTCCGGTGGCAGCGGAATATTGACTATTCCTACAGAACTCAATGGGATTTACAAAATGCTAAATAAAACACTACAGGAACGTTTTTTCTTCACGAAACTTTTTTTGGAACGTCATTGAACAGCGCTGACGACCCGGTGAGTAGCATATTTTAAAAAAAGAACGTTTAAGGTTGTTTTAAGGACATTATCGGACATGCTCTATGCAAGCCATTCTAAAGCAGCCAGGGGGTGATTCTAAATGAGCCAAAAAGCAGAGACAGGAGCAATTGTCAAAATTTTGGTGTCGATCATTCGATTTCATCCTGGACACTACAGAAAATGGGCTTAAAGTGTAAAAAACCGAACTTCTCCTTTAAGCTTGGAAATAGCCCCATCTTTTGGCTGCCATCAGGTCAGGCCTGTCATTCCGGCAATGTGAATGGGTTCAAATCACAAAAGCCTTCCTTACACTAGTGATCACTAACAAATTTAATCTGACATGTTTGAGCTCCAAAGCAGGGAAGGCATCACTACTCACCGGGTGACGAGCTTGGTGTGGGGGACAACACTCCGTTGGTCAGGCTCTCTGTTACCATGTTAGCGTTCTGGAAAAGAAAATGAATTTATGTTCATAGAAATGCTAACCTGTGTGTGGTTCTCTGTGTTTTCCTGTTTCAAAACAAAAATGCATAAAAAGTAAAATAATCCTGTTCTTGTTTTTTTTTAACTTACATGCAAAAATGTAATATTAAACCTATTGAAAATCAACATACCGTATTTTCACGACTATAAGACGCACATAAACGTCTTTTTTTCCCCTCAAAATGTGCGGTGCGCCCTTTGGTGCGGTGCGCCCTATGTGTGTTGCAACTGCGACTTTCGAGACCACCTCATTGAGGAGATGATAAAAGAGTGGCTGAATGTAAGGAGACCAGGTGTTTGTTTTTTTCCACTCATCACCACACCATCGCTGTTAATCTGACTCCATGCGTGCCCATCTCACAGCTGATGTGAAAAACATGGTGAAACAAATTAATGCTGTGCTCGCTCTGAACCGGACGCAGCAGGTGCAGCAGAAGCAGCGAGTTTACATGCAAAGTCAACGGTTAACGAGCGTATAGACGCAGCAAAAGCTCCCGCAGCGCGTTTTGAGCAGCAGGAGCGTTTAAGCATCTGCCAACGCGCTGCTGCTGCTCGAGATGGAAAAATTGGAGTTTTGCTGCTGGAAGCGCCGCATCAACGAATCAGAGAAGCTGATCTGGGAGCTGACAGCGAGACAGACACATCGCTCTGATGACATATGATTTTAAAGCAAATGAAAAAGGCTGGATGGATGAGGAGATGATGAAAGCGTGGCTGAGGGAGGTGTATGTGAGGAGACCAGGTGGTTTTTTTTCCACGCATCACCATCGCTTTTAATATGTGACTCCATGCGTGCCCATCTCACAGCTGATGTGAAAAACATGGTGAAAAAAAAATAAACGCTGTGCTCGCCGTTATCTCGGGGGTCTGACAAAGGAACTTCCACCGCTCGACATCGGTGTGAACCAGCCGTTCAAAGTAAGGCTGCGAGCGGCGTGGGAGCGATGGATGACAGACGGAGACCACAGTTTCAGGATAAGTGGAAGGCAGCGCCGGGCAAGTTACGCCACCGTTTGCAGATGGATTGTAGATGCTTGGGCTAACGTGTCTGCTGGCTCTGTTGTTCAAGCTTTCGCAAAAGCCGGCATTATTTCTGAGGAGCTGCGCTGCACGGAAAGTGACTCTGACAGCGAAGAAGGGGAAACTGGCATGTCTGATTTAGCGCAGCTGTTTAATTCAGAAACAGAGGATGATGACTTTGATGGGTTTGATTAATACTTTGTAATAAATACATTAATAAAGCACAATCATACTCAGTTTTGCTCCCGCTCTATTTTTCTACCTGAACACTTAATTCAACGGCAGCCTCTGGGCGGGTCTCCTCCGCGTATACCGCAGTGGCTGGCAGGTGTTTTTTCATCTAAATAATCTAAATCTTGCAGCTATATTTGCTGTGATCAGTGGGAATTAAGTAGTTTTAATATGTTTTTAAGTGAGAAAGTCCACCTGAAAACTTCATAATTGCAGTCAGTTCATCCAGATTATCTATTTCTGTCGGAGGCGCTCAGACCCCCACATACCAGCGGTGCACCGACAGCAGAAATCCCTTCAACAGCAGCCTCTAAGCAGGGTAGCCTCCAGGTTCACCGGCGGCTGCTGGCAGGTGTTTTTCATCTAAATAATTTAAACTGCAGGCACCAGGATACCGGCAATAAAAGCGAACATATTCCGTCGGCAGGTTTCAGGATTTTAAGTTAATTTAGGAGTCATCACAGCGCTGTGTCATCTGCGATGTGTCTGTCTCACGGCCAGCACCCAGGTTTGATTAATACTTTGTAATAAATACATGAATAAAGCACAGTCATACTCAGTTTTGCCCCCGCTGTATTTTTAAATACGCAGTAGAGGTATTTAAAGGTAGTAGAGGACATGTACCGGTATATAAAAAACGCGCCCTATAGTCCAGTGCGCCTTATGTGTGTGTTAAATATAGAAATGGGACACATAACTGAGACTGCGCCTTTTAGTACGGTGCGCCTTATGGTCGTGAAAATACGGTAGGCACTTTTCAGTCATCCTTTAAGAAACTGGCAAAAGCTGAACTCAAATCTGCAATGCTTTAGCTCGTTACAGGGCTCCAAATTACTCTGCTAAGAGCTCACTCTGTTAGCAAGGTGAGGAAAGGAAATGTTGCAAAGGATGGATGGGAAAGGCCACTGACTTTGAGATAGACTGGATACATCCAGTAAACCGTCACCACACCCTTTCATGGTGAGCCGTTGTAATTAGAATGAACAAGCCTTACGAATTATTGCTAAACAATTCTAGTTTTCTTTTTAGTCTGATGTTCTTGTCATTCCCTCTTTCCACTTTAAAAAAAACAAAAAAACAAAAAAACTAAAACAGTCTTTGTAAGTGAACAAACTCCCATCCTAAGAAGAGGATCAAATATATATTTTGTCCTCTAAAGAATCAGGCTGTAGGTTGAACTTGTAAGCACTCACACCCATAAAGGATATTTGACTAGGTTTTTGTCTCCTGTGGCAAAACAACTTCAAAATGATAAGAATTTGCATAAAAATATTTTAAATTAAAACCCAAACGCTTAAGTAGAACGGATTAGGACGCAGACATAACCTGACAAAAACATAGGAAAGACAGGTTGGGAGGAGGATGTTGGCCTGGGAACAACAGGCTAACGTCTCCTATTCTCAGACTCGCTGAGGCTGAGTCAGCATCCCCGTATCCTTCTGATAAAACACTGATAGGAAGCGCTACTGTAGAAAGCAAACTGAGTGTAAACTTTAGAGGAAGAGTGTTCATGTCACGCTAGCTGTATGTTGTACCTCAGCCTGTGCTGGCTCAGGCGTTTCCTCCTCTGAAGGTCCTTGGATGAGGGGAGCAGCTGTTAGGGGACAGCTGGGGGACTGGGGGGCGACGTCAGGGACAGAGTGGGGGGTGTCAGACTGGTTGGGTGGCTGTAACGGGATGGCTGAATAGATCTGTTGACTGTGTGGAGCTCTCCCATTGTCAACCGGACCTGTGACACTGTCTGATGTTTCTGGAGGGACAGCGGGTTCTTCTACGAGGACAAAGATTTAGAAAAAAAAAGTGATTTTAATCAACTTGTCCAAGTTAATATTCTAGATTTACTTTGATAAAACTATTCAATACAAAGACGCTATAAACAACAGATTTTTCTTAACAAACCCAGGAATAAAAAAAAAAAAGACAAAGAATGAATAAAAATGCTTAGAAAACACTTTTCTCCCCCAATCAGAAGAAACATGCATTTACCTTCTTGTTTGTTAGTGAATATTTGATCAGAGCCTCCAAAACCGTCGAGCCCACAGGCCGATCCAGCCTCCTCAGTGTTTCTGAAAGTCAGATTAAGGATTGTTTAAAATATATAGCCTGACATATCGTTAGCCTCTATGATATCAGTCCTATAGGGAAATAAGTCAGATAGACAGCTAAAATGCATCAGTTCATCCTTGGTTCCTCCTTTTATTACAATGTTATGAAAGTGCAGGTTATAGCTTCATAAGAGGTTAACAGTTTACCTTAATCATATTAATTTGTTTATTTTTCTCCATAAAAACAGAAGCAACACTATCCTTTGGTATAGAAAGAAATTCACGTGTTGGATAAAATCTTTTGGGTTTTTTTTTTTCCACAGGAAAAGAAACCCACAAAGAAAACTATTCAGAAAGACTCCAAGCAAGATCAATTTGAATAAAACAAGAAACGGTCATGAGGCAGGTTTGATAAATCGATTGCTAAACCCCTAAAAAAGGAGTTTGGTGTAAAATCTTGCTTGTTTGATTCAACAAATGCACAAAATGTATGTGTCAGAAACCTTTCATGTAGCATCGTATTGACCTTTCAGTTTTTACAGCTGCAGGCTGTAAGCAGGGTTAGCTGCTGTCAACCACCTGAGTCATGTGCTGCGAACTTCTCACTCTGCTGGGTTTTGGTTTACAGAGGCTAAAAGCAAATAGGAAATGTTTTTTTTCTCCAAATTTTTTGATTTCTTCTTGAATTTTTTTTTTTTTTTTTTTACAGTCTTTAAAATGGTATCTTAATTATGTATACGATTAAGTGAGTGACCATGGATTTCCATATGGTACGGATGAAGGTTTGCAGGTGTTTGTATCCATGTTAGGAATGCAGGTTGGGAATTTGCTTTGTTTCATACATTATATATAATATGTTTGTTTTTTTGCAGCATTTTAATTTAATTACCAACGTTATTTACAGCAATTCTTATCTATTTTTAATACCTTTGTGTTTGTGCTGCTTCACTGAGCTCTTATATTGCTCCTTGAGGACAAATTACAATTAAATTGAATTAATAATAACATACGAAACTCTGATGGGTCAATGGTATAATAAGTTTCCTCATAATGTGTCAGAATTAATCACTTTATTCAAAATTACTTCCACTGAGTGATTTCATGCTTCCTAATGTTTTTGGAGTGCTGAGGAGCTCTTACTCTGCACCGGGTGACACCGCCGTCTCCTCCTGCTGTGGCTCCTTCGATGGCTTCTTGTTTTTATCCGCTTCATCTCCACTTTGGGGGTCATTGAGTTCATCTGCATGAGGAAAAAAAAACAACAACAGATGACTAAAAGAGAGAACACATAAATAACCCTAAAAATTAGCTCAATGCTAATGTCAGGAACAGTTAAATCCACACAATAACAATAGGAGACTGAATAAAAAAAAAAAAGTTTTTAGATAATACATTTCTATTTTTATGACCAAATTACAGTAAAGAGTTCTGAAATTTGAGAAGTTTAATTCCATAAAAAGGTGATAGTTTGATAAAAGCAAATCGTTTTCTAAACTTTGCAAAAAGTAAAGAATATTCTGGACACTAAATAAATTTTAAGGATTCAGTTAAAGAAAATTAGGATTACATCCCACCAAGGCATTCCTGGGCTTCCAAAGTTTAAACTCAGCCTATCACTGTTCATACACATTAGCTGCGTCCGAATATCCGCCCCAAAGGCCGGTTTATACTCAGAAACCAGGTCGTCTGCATGTGTGTCGCAGTTAACGCAGACATGCCCCCCCCCCGCAGCAGAGACTGTGCTGCACCCCTCCAAAATTGTAGTAGACTGCAGTCAGTGCCACACACAGGAGGCCTCTGATTGGTCAAATCTACATCCGCTCTACACTATGCGTATTTCCTGTTTGGTACCTTACCTGCTTGTTTTGTTTGTATGACCACCATTGTGAAGATGGACTAGCTAGAAGCAAGGTGCACGACAACGCTCTGACCCTTTTTCCACCTGGATCCCCACTCCTTTTCACCGTTATGTCCCTCCGTTGTCGCCTTGGCTGTATCTAGACCCACAGCTAGTTCCTAATTGTTCCTCTTGCGTTGTGGTGTGGAATAACATAGCGCAGACCGCGCTTCAAAATTGGGCATAAATCAAAAAAATCTGCGACAACCTCACTGCGACACACTGCTGCGGGAGGATAACCAGCCCTTAAACCCCTCAATCACCATATAGAACGGGGTCTATATAGAGGACTTTATAGTGAACTCAGTTAACTGACCGTTTGGACAGATAATCACCACTTTCCGCCCCCATTGGTCACATGACTCTGCCTCCACGCACGATGCCTGCCCCATCTTTGTTATTTGTTGCCATTGTCAGGTAGCGACAGCCGTAGGCAACAGTGGGCCAGTGTGACACCAAATCCCATAATGCTTTGTGAGGAGAACTCTCCTCGGAAATAATTTCAGGATATATCTGCTCTTCTAGTGACAATGGATGATCACTCCTTTTCAAGGTGCATTATGGGGAATTTGGAGTCTAGAGATGTCCCGATCCAGGTTTTTGCACTTCCGATCCGATACCGATAGTTTTTGGACTTCCGATCCGATACCGATACTGGCCGATACCAGCCTATTCAAGCATGCATTTAAGTTTAAGTTAAAGTATTTAGCCTTAGTTGTAAGACTCATGTTGAAAAGGGTTTTAGTACTCTTGATAGCATCTAGCCAGCTGAATTAGGTGAGATTGAATAAAACACAATGATTGGTAACAACAAACTTACCTGTTTATTAAGAGATAAACACAAACTGGACAAAATTATGAATAGCAATCTAATATTGCACAGTGAAAAGTAAAACCGTAAAACGTTAAAGGTGCAAGTATTGCTGTAAGTTTTAATAAAAATGCAAAACAGACAAGAGTGGAAAATATTCTATTAACTTAGAATCAGGACTCTACTCTTGAAAAAAGATACTGCTTAAAAAAAAATCTGTTCACCTGTTTTAATGGTTAGGCCAGGAGACAGACCCAAAAAGACCTGTGGGTGTGTTGAAGGTGTTCTGGAAAATGCGGACCGGATTCGGGGAACACTGGCGCAAAATAGTGGAATGGATCATTTCAATCGGCGAAACTGGAAAATACGGACCGGATTTAAAAAAAAAAAACTGGATCGGCAGTCTGGATCGGCATTTTTACATTCTTTGCCGATACGCATTCATTTGCCAATATCGGCGTCCCGATCCGATCCACGTATCGGATCGGTACAAGCCTATCGGAGTCCACTACTTTCACCAGACATCCACCAGACATTCGGACACTCATAAAATGGCGTAACAACTATATAGTGCCCTATATAGTGAATAAGTCAGACATTCAGACACATCCATTCACTAAAAACTGATAAACTATATAAATGTTTATTACTTTCCTACTGTTTAAAACGGCAGAGCGGCTAGCTTGTCTAACAAGCGTGTCTCACAGCTTGTGTTTGTATTCATTTTGTCATCAGGTCAACTCCAATAAGGGGTGACTAAAATAAGAGAATAAGTTTTAAAAAGCTATTTCTTTCATTGTTAGTTTGTCGTCAAACTAAAGGGAAAAACAAAAATGTATCAATTGGATTTGTTTTTAAAAAAAAAGAAGAGATTTTATTTCTGTCATATTGCCCAGCCCTAGCAATACATTAATGAAGCTAATGAGATAAATGTATGATTTATACGTGCCGCCATTCTGTGACTCCTCATTGAGGTATTCCAGGAGACCATCGAAGATTTCCAGGAGGTTCTTGATCGACTCTTTGTCTCCTCTCACCACATTTTCTCCTGCAAATACAAACTCACTGAATAAGGTCTACGATTTAACCCTGAATATTTCAACACACTACTTCAGAAAATAGCTAAACTCTCTGTTAAAGAGACAGAAACTAACAGATAAATTTATTTTTCCTTACCTGTGATGTGGGAGAGGCTGATCTGAAGGTAATCCAGAGACAGAGAGTCAATCACAGATTGAACATTGTGGACCTCATCTTCCAGACTGCTCGGCGATTTAATAAAATCTTAATGCAAACATAAAAAAATGCATATCAGCACAAAGGAAAACAAGTGATAAAAAAATCTGTGGACCAGTATAAACTGCACAAATCTTCATTATTAAAAACATGCCTCAATCACTTTCACTGATGTTTACAGGAGGAAGCAGCTGGATGTTTGCGTTTTCAGGAAACAGTTAACAACTTGTTTAAACATTAAGAATGTAAACATGTTACATAACAGTAAAAGGTTATACTGGGGCTGATTATTCTCTATTCACGTCATTAATTATCATGATATGAAATCTTTCATTGATTCATTTAGCTTTTTGATGATCTCAGAGTCTTAAGGAAAGTTTGTCCACCAAGACACGATAAACACCCAGTCACCAGGTCATCCCCAGAAACGTTTAATCTAGATGCTGCTTTTACCTGGAACCGTCTCTCCGAGGATCTTCTCGTATAAAGTAATGAAAACATGTGCATTGCAGTCCGACAGCACCCCCACCCTAAGGTTTACGTTACACCTGCTGAGGAGATTGTTTGCCACATCAACCCAGTCTGTGGAGGGGAAAAAAGGGCAATGATTAGTTAGAAGTTCTTCTTGTGAGAAAATATAATCATGATTTTTAATTGAATCACAGAGATCAACAATCTGGTTGAAGGATGAAATGTTTGACTGTTGGGCTCAAACTTTTATGTAACCCTCAGACAGACAGAGGATTACATGTATTCAGTAATGAACAACATGGAAGGATTAGTTTTAGGAGCTTTAGGAGTCTCCTTCCTATCCTTTGTTAATGCATCAATGAACCTCCTCTGTGGTTTTCCATCCACTATCTCTCCTCTGTAATAGTCCAAAGCACCTAGCATCACATTTCTGCAATTCCTCTAATTCCCCTGACTATGACACTCTGATGCTACTATTTCTATACATCTGAGTAAACCCATTAATATTTGTAACATATTTATATGTATGTCCTATCTGTGGGTTTGAAGCAATGTTTCCAAATTACATAGAGCAGCCAGATGATCCTCTGTTATTAAAGACCCCTGATTGATGCCTTCATCCAAAAAGACCCTGGTTGTTACCATCAGCAAATCCTTTTAATTCTCCTGTTAAACTAATTATATCTACTGGTTTTTAACAGATTTCTTTTTTGTTTTTGTTAAATAATATAAACATTATGTTTAGTAAAAATATGTCCAAAATTCAATAAAACTGAAAATACTGAAATATATGAATATGTTTGATTATAGATCTGTTAAGTATGTGGGAATATAAAAAAATCCAGACTTTACTTGTGCTGAGCTAGTTGTTCAGTGAAAGCCTGGAACATTAATAAACTGAGAGCATGGTGAGGACCAAGGAGCCAAGCGTAAAGGTAGAGGTAAATTTTGCAGAGGGGCTGTAATCGATGTAAGGCAGGGGTCGCGCGGCTCTTTAATGCACCCCTAGTGGATTTTTTTTGTTTGCTTGTTTAAATATGAAGTGCCGGAGTTCAAACAAACATTAATTATGTTTCCAATGCTTTAAAAATGTGTTCCAAAAGTGTTAAAAAGAACAATCCACTGGACTTCGTTTTCCAAGTTTGAAGAAGTTTCGCTTCCAATCAAGGAAACCTTTTCCAATTCAAAATGTCGGGATTAGTTTCGAGCTTTATAGAGTAGCCCAACAAAGCCTTGTTATGGCTTTAAAATCTGTATAGTAAATACATTTAAATGATAAATTGTAACATTTCTGTCAATGAAGATTTGTGAGATAGCCTTCCACAGACATTTCAGCACGTTGCGGTGCCAGGCAGGTGGCTGTTGCAAACAAACTGGCGGGTCTGTGTTGGGCTATGGACCTCAAAGGGAAAAAAACGAAGAACACTGATGAGAAGAGAGGATTTAAAGAATTAACCAAATCATTTGCTTTCATTACCAATGCGAAAGGATTGCCTGAATGTTTGCTTTGTAACAAGAAGTTGTCAAGAAATAAAAAGAGTAATTCGGAAAGGCATTTCCAAGGAAGGCAGGCTAAATAGGCAGCCGACCACCAAGTTGCTAGTGAAATAAAAAGGGCTTGCATTTAGATTGCATTTATTTCTGGATAAATTAGAGGAGCGCAAAGATATATTTAAGAAGGGGATTGCATCTGCAAACTCCGCTACTGCTGCTAGGTTTGTTGCGAGAATGGAAAGCCGTTCACAGATCAAATAGGTAGTGCCTCCTTAAAATAGGAATAACACCAAAAATGTGATTTTTTTATCATGTTTCTATGATTTAATCAATATAACAAAACCTAGTATATTAATATTGTAATGGAATTTAAACCTAAAAAACCAGATATTGTACAGCAGAGTAGTCACATGATGCGATATTTGCTCCAGGATAAACATTTAACCATGAATGCTTGTTATATATTTTAATATTGGGCTGGTACACTTAGAGTCTGTGTTGCCATGCAAGGTTTATGTAAGCCTTTTACATCTTTGCGGCCCCAGACAAATGTCGTTTTGTTTTAGGTCCAATATGGCTCTTTGAACAGTTTGGGTTGCCGACCCCTTGTGTCATTTTTACGTTGAGTCAAAGATTTAATTTCCTCACAGCCTGCACCAGGGCAGCTGTGGTTACAATGAAGCTGTACACCATCAGCGTGGGAATGATTGCCTGAAAGACTGAACGTAGTGCAATGCACCACGTTCCACCATGGATTTCCACCCCATTTTGGTGAGTTGAGCGTTGGTCCGCCACTAAGGTGGGGAAATATTTTGACACTACCACTGTGGTTTGTACAGCTTTGTGAAGACATGACAACAAGACTGTTTTTGTGAAAACAAAGCCACAAGAGGTCATGTTTAACGTTAGCCGCTGGTGATATAGCAGACAAAGAGATGTTCAGAGAGCTGGCAGAGACCCTGAAGCAAGATGTGATTCAACTAAGCTGAACACACAAATAAACACCACTTTATGCCTCAGAATCTTCTTTGGTATCTTTTTTTTAACCCATGTACCACTACCCTGCTACTTTACAGAAAGACTACGCTTTGTGTTGTTTAATCACAAGAAAACCTTTTAAAAACACATTAAATATAAAAAAAGACAAATAAATTAGCATGAGTACTTTTGCAAAACATTCACTTTTTACAGACTCCTTATTCATCAGCAACCAAAACAAACAAAACATTTGTTATATTTGTCTCTGGATGAAACTAAACTGCTGCCCACTGACATCCTCTCATTTAAAAATAAGGAATAAATAAATAGAGATATCTTTTTGATCTAGCTTCTTCGCTCTTTCTTACATCTTTATATGTCTGTCTAGCTGCATTGGTTCCCAGTTACTCCAGCTCTTCAGATTACACTTATTCATGAAAATCTGAGCCAGCAGCCTTCCTAGTAACTCCTCCATCATCCTCCCGCTCCAAGGATGTTATTAAACTATTAATATGCAATAAAAAAACATTTTTTTCAGACCAATCTCTGGAAAAGCTTCCTTTACTTCCTGCTGTGCGCTGTTACCCACCTTCTTCCTCATTCATTACATCCTTAAAGTGTTCCTTATTCACTTTCACACCGTCACTCACTCTTTTAAAATGGGTTAACACTAATTTTAAAACTAATAATAACTACTGTTACATGGCGAAGGTATGTTCTAAAAAAAAGCAAGAAGTGTTTTGGTTTTTAAAACAAGCCAAACTTGATGGGAACATCAGCGCCTTCTCTACTGTTTGAATTCAACAAGCTAACGTTGCTAACGGCTGCTAACAGAAACTTGACGGATAAGGATAAACTGTGACCTTTATTATTCATACTAACGATGTCTCTAGCAAACGGATGTCCAACTAAAAGCCTTCGCAACAGCAGCCACACAGAAAACAACTTTAGCCGTGAGCGTTACGTGTCGCTAGCTTTCACCCAGACAGTCCTGGCAGCCTTACTTCTCTCTCCCTCCTGGGTTCCCATGAAATAACTGTGGAAGATAAAAAGGTCGCTGGGGTTTCAAAGGTGACGATGAGCCAAAAAAAGGATAAAGTCCCAAATGGTGAACCGGGGCCCAATAGATTGGTATCGGTGCTGTAGTTTTTCGGTATCGGCTCACATTCAAAACTGTGGTCTTGTTTGATTGGACGTTAGCTCGCTGTTGTTTGAGGAAGTAAAAGCTGCTCCGCTGCGTGTCGCCCCCTACGGGTGTCTGACGATATACCGCACTATTTGGCGCGTCAATGAAACCGCCATGTTGGAGAGGGCGACCTTAAAACTTAGGTCACTGATATATTCCAGGCTCATTATATCAGTGATGACAGGTCACAGATGTTGGTAGAAGGTGATTTAGATAAAGGTTTGAAAGTTTTCATAAACGTTATAACAGTTTATAAACATTCCCCTTTCAGGTTGCATAACTTTTACAGTTTTGGACTTACCAATGTTAGATTCTGAAATTAAAGATATATTAAGGAATTATGGAAAAAACTAAATTTGAGCTAAAAAGAGGATGCAGACATATTCAAGGAAGGAAAACTAGACAGCAAAATATATACACTGCCCCCCAAAAAATAAAGGAACACTTTAAAAACACATCAGATCTCAATGGGGGGGAAATCATGCTGTTTATTTATATTAATATGGACTGGGTGATGTGTTAGGAACAAAGGGTGCCAAATCATTTGACGGACATGAAAATTATCAACCTACAGAGGGCTGAATTCAAAGACACCCCAAAAATTACAGTGAAAAAATTATGTGGCAGGCTAGTCCATTTAGCTGACATTTCATTGCAGCAACTCAAAATTGTATTCAGTAATTTGTATTGCCCCCACGTGTGTGTATGCATGCCTGACAACGTCGGGGCATGCTTAGGGTGACCATATTTTCATTTGGGAAAACCAGGACGCCTTGGTGCGGGGGTGGGGGGGGGGGGGGGGGTGGGGGGGTGGGGGGGGGGGGGGGGTTGATATTGAAAGAACAAATATCTCATCATCGGGATTTGCTCTGTGATCAGAGGAAATGTTACTTGGCGCAGAACAGTTGTGAAAATTTGAAGTTCAGTTTAATATAATAATACAACTCTGTGAATAGTTCCGTCTGAAATTAATGGAAATAGTTGTTTTAATGGTTATTGAGTCAGATATGTGGCGGTAATGTTTGGTTTATCTAAAGGTTTTAATCTGTTACTGTGTAAATGAGTTTGGCTGTAATTTAAGGACAGATTCTAATAGATCTGCAGAATGGGAACTATAAATCTGATAGGATTTTTATTTTTTTATTGTTGCTTTGCACAATATGCTTAACTAAGTATTTTTTGTTGTTGAATATTAGAGATTTTGCAGATATATTTTGTAGATACATCGTTTAGATTTACTTATATATTTCTAACCCTTTTATAGAATAGAATAGAAAATCCCTTTATTGTCCCACAATGGGCAAATTTACAGCAGCAGAAAGATTATTGAAAATGGTCACACAAATGAGGACCTTAGAAAAATGTATAAGAATAACATAATAGGGAAGAGTTAAAATATAAAAAATAAAATTCTGTAAAGTGTTTTAACAATATAAAACTGGAGAATAAATAACCAATATGCAGCTATGGACATTTTTACAGTAATGGATATTTGAAAATAGCAGCAACATCAGAGATGTGCAGAATGACAGCAGCAGGTTATTTAACTGACTAAGGTTTCTATCATTACATTTGATTTGATTTGTTCCTGATACCGGTGGTTGGAACCTTTATTCCACTCTGGATTCTTGTGAGTGTAGTCTTTGTTCACTTTAACTTTTTAAAAAATAAATAAATAAACAAACAGTTTTGAAAACCTCGGTACTCATTCTTTTCCTGCTTTGTGTGTCAACTTTCACGGTTGCTAAGCAACAGAGCATACGCCGGCAAAACCCGCCGAAGGGAGGACCTGTTCGAATTTACAGACAGAACTCTTCCGGCCTCCTTATTTTCAAGGACTTCGAAGGATCCAGTCTAGGTAGACCGCGTCCTTGGAGGATGCAGCCCAGGTTTTCGAACAGAGCCTCTGATTAAGAACAGGGCTGCCCGCACTGACGCGGCTCAGGGATTACGTCACACGGAGCGTCGTGCGCAGTGAAATCAGGACATTTCCTCACTTTCTAAAAAAAACCCGGGACGCCCGGGACAGGACGTGAAATACGGATATGTCCCGGGAAATACGGACGTTTGGTCACCCTAGGCATGCTCCTAATGAGACGATGGGTGGCGTCCTGGGGTATCTCCTCCCAGATCACTGAGCTCATCACTGAGCTCCTGAGGTGCAACCTGGCGGCGTCGGATGGATCGAATCATAATGTTCCAGAGGTTTTCTATTGGATTTAGGTCAGGCGAGCGTGGGGGCCAATCAATGGTATCAATTCCTTCATCCTCCAGGAACTGCCTGCATACTCTCACCACATAAGGTCGGGCATTGTCGTGCACCAGGAGGAACCCAGGACCCACTGCACCAGCATATGGTCTGACAATTGTCACAGGCCGGCTCAATGCCCATGACAAAAAGGAGGGGACACCAAACAATTTAGGCCAATCAATACTTTATTGTAACCAATAAATAACTTTAAATAAAACAAAGATGAGATGTGAGTATGTAAGAATGTTTAGTGTGTGCAGTGTATGAGTGGGTGAACATGAATGTGTCTGAGTGTTACAAAAACCAAAATGAACCAACCAACAAAGGAAATACCTGGAGGAGCAGAGAGAGAGAGTGTTAGTGGAGCCCAACTTATATAAGGAGCCCAAGTGGCTCCAATTAGTAATTAGACCTGCCTCTGCCTACAGGAGGAACCGCCCCTGCAGGTCAGAGGAAAGGGCCGTGACACAATGGGAAAAAGGATTTCATCCCGATACCTAATGGCAGTCAGGGTGCCGCTGTCTAGCCTGTAAAGGTCTGTGCTTCCCTCCATTGATATGCCTCCTCAGACCATCACTGACCCACCACCAAACCGCTCATGCTGAACGATGTTAGAGGCAGCATAACATTCTCCATGGCTTCTCCAGACCCTTTCACATCTGTCACATGTGACATCTGTGAAAAGCACAGGGCGGCAGTGGCGCACTTGCCAATTCCAGTGTTCTGTGGCAAATGCCAAACAAGCTCCACGGTGCCGGGCAGTGAGCACAAGGCGTACCAGAGAACGTTGGGCCCTCAGGCCCCCCTTGTGAAGTCTGTTTCTGATTGTTTGGTCAGAGAAATTCGCACCAGTGGCCTGCTGGAGGTCATTTTGTAGGGCTCTAGCAGTGCTCCTCCTTGAACAAAGGAGCAGATACTGGTCCTACTGATGGGTTGTAGACCTTCTACAGCCCTGTCCAGCTCTCCTGAAGTAACTGCCTGTCTTCTGGAATCTCCTCCATGCTCTTGAGATTGTGCTGGGAGACACAGCAAACCTTCTGGCAATGGCACGTATTGATGTGCCATCCTGGAGGAGTTGGACTACCTGTGCAACCTCTGTAGGGTCCAGGTAGCGTATCATGCTAACAGTAGTGAGAGTGACCCTAGCCAAATGCAAAACTGGTGGAAAAAATATCAGAAAAGATGAGGAGGGGGAAAAAAATGTCAGTGGCCTCCACCTGTAAAACCATGTCTGTTTTGATTGTGGTCTCGTTGTTTCCCCTCTAGTGCACCTGTTGTTAATTTCATTAATAACAAAGCAGCTGAAACTGATATAGTATATATAGTATAGTGTATATATAGTATATATAGGGTGACCAAACGTCCGTATTTCCCGGGACATATCCGTATTTCACGTCCTGTCCCGGGCGTCCCGGGTTTTTTTTAGAAAGTGAGGAAATGTCCTGATTTCACTGCGCACGACGCTCCGTGTGACGTAATCCCTGAGCCGCGTCAGTGCGGGCAGCCCTGTTCTTAATCAGAGGCTCTGTTCGAAAACCTGGGCTGCATCCTCCAAGGACGCGGTCTACCTAGACTGGATCCTTCGAAGTCCTTGAAAATAAGGAGGCCGGAAGAGTTCTGTCTGTAAATTCGAACAGGTCCTCCCTTCGGCGGGTTTTGCCGGCGTATGCTCTGTTGCTTAGGAACCGTGAAAGTTGACACACAAAGCAGGAAAAGAATGAATACCGATGTTTTCAAAACTGTTTGTTTATTTATTTATTTTTTTAAAAAGTTAAAGTGAACAAAGACTACACTCACAAGAATCTAGAGTGGAATAAAGGTTCCAACCACCGGTATCAGGAACAAATCAAATCAAATGTAATGATAGAAACCTTAGTCAGTTAAATAACCTGCTGCTGTCATTCTGCACATCTCTGATGTTGCTGCTATTTTCAAATATCCATTATTGTAAAAATGTCCATAGCTGCATATTGGTTATTTATTCTCCAGTTTTATATTGTTAAAACACTTTACAGAATTTTATTTTTTATATTTTAACTCTTCCCTATTATGTTATTCTTATACATTTTTCTAAGGTCCTCATTTGTGTGACCATTTTCAATAATCTTTCTGCTGCTGTAAATTTGCCCATTGTGGGACAATAAAGGGATTTTCTATTCTATTCTATAAAAGGGTTAGAAATATATAAGTAAATCTAAACAATGTATCTACAAAATATATCTGCAAAATCTCTAATATTCAACAACAAAAAATACTTAGTTAAGCATATTGTGCAAAACAACAATAAAAAAAAAAAATCCTATCAGATTTATATTTCCCATTCTGCAGATCTATTAGAATCTGTCCTTAAATTACAGCCAAACTCATTTACACAGTAACAGATTAAAACCTTTAGATAAACCAAACATTACCGCCACATATCTGACTCAATAACCATTAAAACAACTATTTCCATTAATTTCAGACGGAACTATTCACAGAGTTGTATTATTATATTAAACTGAACTTCAAATTTTCACGACTGTTCTGCGCCAAGTAACATTTCCTCTGATCACAGAGCAAATCCCGATGATGAGATATTTGTTCTTTCAATATCACCCCCCCCCCCCCCCCCCCCCCCCCCCCCCACCCCACCCCCCCCACCCCCGCACCAAGGCGTCCTGGTTTTCCCAAATGAAAATATGGTCACCCTAGTATATATATATATATTTATGTATGTTCTGGGTTCAGTTCCCGGCCCGGGGTCTTTTTGCATGGAGTTTGCATGTTCTCCCTGAGCATGCGT